GATAACAATAACTTCACATAAAGCAAGTAAAAAAAAAAGGCTGATTTGTCTGTTTTTTTTTTTTTTAATAAGCTACTTATGTTTCATTATAGTTAGCTCTAAAACCATTTGTCATTGCAGACGGAAGTCCCAAGTGAGCTTTACCTTCCTTTCTTCCCCTCATTTCATCTCAAAGCTTTACTCTCCACCCTATAAACGTTGTCAGAGGAGCCTCATTATTCCTCATTTACTCACAATAAAGTTGAAATGTTCAAAAAAAAAAGTATCTGTCCAAATGCATTACTTTAACAAAACATAAATCACAGATCTTGACTCAACAACAATAATGTCAGTTAAGAAGGTAAACAACAAAGAAAGGTTGCACTGATTTAAACCTTTACTTTGTACGACCCAATGCTTCCAACGCTCACGCACCTGATAGGAGCCTTTCTGTCTGAACTGTCCAGATGTGAAGTATTTTGTAAACTAGAAAACATTTTTGATTGAACCACACGACGAATAGTACACCTCTGCAACAGTGAGGACACTTTCTGAGCTCCATGTGTTCCCTGTTTGTTCCTAACAAGTAAAAACAGGTTTGGAGAGGCTGAGCTCGTCACGTCAGAGTCTTTCACTAAAGGCTTATTTCTTGCGCAGCTTTTAGGGAAATGATATTAAAGATGGATGATTGTGCTTGTTTGGAACAAAACCTGTGACACAACTGGTTACCCTCTTATAAAGTTGTGTATGGGATGCCAATCCTCTCAGACACTATTCCATCATAACTAAAAAGATTTTCTTGCAGGAAACACAACAGAACGCAGTGTGAGTCACGTCCATGTTACAGATAAGAAACAAAGATGGGAAGGAGTCCAAAACTGATCCACTTCAACAGAATTCATCACTTTAAAGAAATGGGTTGAATTTGTTTAAATAAAGCTGTGTGCGAATGTAATTAACAGTCAGTGTCTTACCTGCAGTAGACAGCAATCAGAGCGATCTCAGTTTGGAGAATCAGAGAAGAATCAGGATTAAGGGTGTTCTCACACCTGATAGCCCGGTAGACTCGGTTCAATTCGGGACCAAAATTCACAACATTTGTTTATATTTTCAGCTGGTGCTGTTTGCATTCACACTGCACTGAGTCAGTCGAGCCAACCTGCCCCCACCCCCCCCCCCCCCCCCCTGCCTGTTGTGGCGCTGCACCAAGAACTACTCAAAGGAAACGACACAGAAACATCTGAAGAAGACACTGAGTGCAACTTCTGGAAATAAAAACAAAAATGGAGTGGCGTCATATTTGAGTGGTTTTAGGATTTCTGTTTTGTCATTTTTCAACAATGGACTCAGCGTGAGTGGAAGATGAGGCAGAAGACCATGGAGAATGATTTTCACACAAGGTGGCTGACGGCTCCGTATGAAGAGAAATGTGTGTTTGTTTGCCCTGTGCTGTAGTCCACTTCCTGCTTTTGGAGTGATCTTTGGTCTGCTTGCATTCACACTGCATTCGAACCGTGCCAGAGTTCACTTCAACCAGACTGAGACCTAGGTATTTAGGTGGACCAGAGTTCACTTTTTTGGTCCGTATCAGAGTTCGATTGCACATTCACACCTCCTCAAATGAACCGGACTTTCTAGGCAAACGGACTAGAGTTTGATTAAAACAGACTAAACAGGGCTGGTGTGAATGCACCCTAAACTGACAGCTAATAAGAATGAGGCCAGTTCTAAAATGAGTTTCAGCCAAAACAAACATCAAGCCTGAGCAGTAACAGTGTTTATACTGTCAGTCCATCCCACACTGCACCGGAGATCAAGTTCTCAGTGAGAGTTTGAGTCACCGGCACCCCACACCGAAACCTTCAAATGCACTTTGTTGTCTGTCCTGCACCTCAGAAGATCAGAAACTCCTCCTTTAAAATGGAAACAGTCGAGACAAGCAACCATTCACTCTCTCACTCACTCAAACCTGAGACAATTTAGAGTTACCGAGCTAAGAACATGCATGTTTTTGGTCTCTGGAAGGAAACTGGAGTACCAAAAGAAAACCCACGCATGCACGGAGAGAATATGCCAACTCCATCCAGAAAGGTCATCGTCCAGGATTCAATCCAGCGACCATTTTGCTGAGAGGTGGCAGCACCAACTGAGCCACCGTGCTGCCCCAAATCAGTTCTCAAATATATATCTCTGTCTAATTAGCTGTTAGCTCGACCTCTCCTTTCAGAATTTCTCCCTGATTTTCTAAACCTGGATCACTCTGAACACTATCTACTGCAGGTAAGATACTTACCAATAATAACCAGTTCACAGAACTTCATTAAAAAATCTTAATTTATTTTACCATGTGGGCAAAGCTTTCTGAGCTCTGTCATACTTTCTGATAAAGTCAGTGGGAAAACAGAAGCAGTTTTTGAGGTCTCAAATTATTTGAGACAAATAGCCTATTTCATTTTTCCATTTTTTTCAAGAATCAACTTTTACCTACAGTATATAAAGAAAACTGGCTACAACCATAAAATAATAATATAATAATATAGTTTAAATTAAAACTCCCCAGGTTTAACCACACTGAGTGTGAAAATGTTGTTGAGGGATGCTGAACTGTTATATTTAGACCTGGACTTTGTGGCGCTGTTGAAATGTATTAAATTATAGTGACAGGTGTTTCTGAGAGGGGAAACTTTAGAACAGCAAGTCAACACTTCCAGGTAAACTCCTTCTAGGATTATCTGTTTTATATATATATATATATATATTTATATATATGTATATATATATGTATGTATGTATATACATGTATGTATGTATGTATGGATATATATATATATATGTATATATATATATATGTATGTATATATGTATATATATGTATGTATATATGTATATATATGTATGTATCTATGTATATACATGTATGCATGTATATACATGTATATATATATAACTGAGCCCTTAACCTTTTCATAATTTGGTTGGCTGCACATGAAGGTGTCTGTGCGCTCCAGAGTCCGTTCAGTGTGCGTGCACGTGCGCGCGCGTGTGCGGGTGAGTAATAGCGCTTCCCCGGTGTATGCCTCCCGCCAGCCCATAACCCATTATGTGCTGTCGAGAGGCGGAGGAGAGGGCGAGGCGGAGCGCAGACAGCAGCCGCGCGCGCACGCTCCATTAGCGGACCCGCTGCCGGTAATTTGCGTAACGAGGCTGGAGCGAGCCCCGCTGGCTGCCGCCGAGCTGCCTCCCCGTGTTTCACTCCGCTCTTCCCGGGCTTGGTTCCGATCCAGCCCGCAGGAGCGGAGGAGGACAGGCAGACAGACGAACACGCTGCGTGCGTGTTGGCGCCGCTTCCACGCATGAAGTTTCCCCATCCGTTTTATATTTCCGTCGCCTCGTGTTTCCGTTTTCCGCTGATACTCAAGCGCCTTCATGTGGACAGAACCAGTACTGCAGCCACGGTGGACTCGTTTTTGTTCCTTTTTAGTATTTCAGTAAAAAAAAAAAAGACATTTTACTTTAAATAGTTGATAAAGAAAACTAAGAATATTTAGGCTCATTGATTTTTGTAGCTACTTTTAGTATCGTTAATATAAAAAACAAAAGATTTAAAAATAATATTTCGTCATGTTAATCTAGCCTTTATTTAAAAATAATTGTTGTTGACCAGAGCGCATTACGCCCAAAACATGCAGAAAGTGTCATGGTTTAATAAATGGCGAAATAAATAAAGAAATAAGAAGGGGATTAATAAATAAGGCTTGTTACAGAAGGTTCTTCTTTTCAATGATAATTTTTGTTTTGTTGATTTTTTCCCCATTATTCTACCTTTTATATGATGATTTTATGAGCAAGCCTGTGATGGATTGGGGACTTGCAGGGTCTCCAGACCCTAAACAAAATCAGAATGGATGGGGGTGCCTGAGCCAGGTCATCTGAAAGTAGGGCAACCTCTTGTTAATATTATTAATATGGCAATGACTGAAGATGTATCTCTGACTGAGTTCCTATTCCTGCATGAGTTAGTTCACATTGCCCCTTAATCTGATTAGATTTGACCTACTAGTGAATAATGAAAGTTTATAACAGAAGAGCGAACTTTAAAATACTTTTAACTTGTCAAAGTTAATTTACCCAAATCCATTGAGCCATTATTCAGTTTGCAAATGTTCCTTTAGAAACTGATGGTAATATTTAATACACGTTCTTATCTAAGCTGGAGCTATGGGAGAATTTACTTCACATGGGCTATGAACTGAGATGTTGCCTCTCAGCAAGAAGGTCCCTGGTTCAAATCCTGGCCTCAGACCCCCCCCTGGGTCAAGCTTGCATGTTCTCTCCGTGCATGCGTGGGTTTTCTCCGGGTATTCCAGTTTCCTCCCACAGACTAAAAACATGCATGTTAGTCTGATTGGTAACTCTAAATTGTCCCTAATGGTTGTTTGTCTCGTTTGTCTCTGTGTCCCTGTGATGGACTGGAGACCTGTCCAAGGTGTCCCCCGCCTCTCACACAGTGTTAGCTGAATATGGGCACCATGACCCGAAAAGGAAGAGTGGGTACAAGATAAGAGATGGATGGATTTCAGTTGGTTTGTTTTTTATCGTTCACATACCTTTTGGTAATTTCAAAGCTTTATTTAAAACACATGCCATCATTCATAATGTTTTTTTTTTTATTATTATTTTTAACAAATTAAAGTTTTTCTAATTGGAATTGCTCCATACTCAAACTGTTCAAACCTACACTATAATAAAGACTAAATTACCTATGAAAACATATTTTTAGAAACACAAGAACACACATTTTTGAAGCAGAACAGCTGGAAAGAAAACCCCACATGATTGCTTCAAATCTATTAAAAGTCAAATTGGTCAACCTGCTGAAATAGTGCCCATAAGCAACTATTTCAGCAGGTTCTGAATGTCAGAACTGATCATATAGAAACATTTGAAGAAACCAGGAGGTAAATATTAATATTCACCACACCAGTTAAAGCAGAAATAAATGAGGTCCAAACAAATCTGTTACTGTGTATATTTATTGATAAGACCACTGATGGTGACAGCATGGTGCAACTCTGCATGGGGGTCTAGTGCCCCCATGTGTAAGCTAGATGGTATTACATGTTAGTATTTACAGAACAATAAATTGGAGAAGGGTGTTGAAAAACATACATTCACCAACTAAATTTACAGCTTGGAAAGGAGGGAAAAGTCACAACAAAATACTGACCAAAAAAAACAACTGATCACAGCAGGAGCCACTAAGTCTACATTGATTTTACTGACACACACTCAAAGAAGCCAAATCACACACACTCTCACACGTCAAGAGAGGGAGATAGAAAAGGCCTAAGTGAAACTGTAAACCTAACAAAACAGCTAAACTGAGCTCTACTCAACAAAACGTCAGCCACAATTGCTTTTCCAGTGCAAGATTCTTATAAACTATCAAACAAATACTGATTCAGAGCACAAAATGTGGATTTAAAACCGTGACACAACAGTTATACTAAGTAGCGTATTAGTCAGTGAAACGTCACATCATATAAATTACATTTCCAATACATATCTACAGATGAGGGTGATGATGATGATGATGATGGCAGCAGGCTGATGGACTACACAGAATACCAAACGCGTTCGGCTAATCTCCCTTTGTAACAGAGCGCTCTCATTACAGAATACTCCACCAGAAGAAGACAATTCATGACCCTGATGGTGAAAACGGTTGATCCGCTGACTTTTTCCTAAAGGCTAAGCAAAAACAAGATTTACAGCGAAGTCCTGACAGCTGGTTGAACAAAAAGACAGAACACAAGGAGTAAAATGTAACAGAAAATGTACCTTGGATCATGAAGCAGCATCCAGTCCTTAACACCTTCACACAAAGTAATCATTCAGTCAACATCAGTGCAATAAGGGCAGTTTGTCACCTCTTAAACCAACATTCATTCAACCTTTATTTATACAGGTTCGTCTCATTGAGCCTCGAGGACTCATTTACAAGGGAGACCTGATTTAGACAAAGAATGATGAACATTAAATACAGCTGGGGTCAGAATTTGTATATAACCAGTGACAAGAAGCATGTTTGGTGGAGTCCAAGTGATAATTTTGAATGAAGACACTGTCGAGCATGGTGGTGGTAGCATCATGGTGGCACTAATGCATAGCACAAAGTGATTGGAATAATAAAGGAGGTCGGCCTCCAAATCCTTCAGCTCCAGCTCAGATCAACAGCTGCTTGTAAACTGGACGTTCCAATGATCCCAAACACACATCAGAACTGGTTCCTGACTAAATAAAGTGAAACAACACAATGCCTTGAATGATCTTCACAAAGCTGGAGCCTAAAAACTGAGTTTGTGCCAGGAAACCCACCAATTTAAATAAACTGTACCTATTTTGACCAAAAGAGGTCAAATATTCATCAAAGCTGTTGATGTCTATAAAAAGCCTGTGGTTGAGGTACAACCTGCTAAGGAGCATTTAACCAAATACCAGAGTACAGCTATTTATTTAAACTTCACAATACATTCAAACGTGTGCACGTAGTCCTGTTTTTAAAAATCACTGAGTTTGTATGTTGTAGTCCACCCTGAACAAAGAACAGTTCAAATCAACCGTGTGTTTATACATTTCTGACTGCAGCTGTATTTCAATTATTCTTCCTTTTGCATCCAACAAGGTGCAACCGTTTTAGTGCATTTCTTTTAAAAAACTGTCCAAACATCTGCTAACTTCAAAAATGAACAAATTCATTCAAAGTCTTTCTGATTCAAAACATCAACAACAATAAAATCATTTAGGAGAAGTCAAAGGTTTTTAAAGGTGTAGATTGGCTCTCATTTTGACGGTGCGAACGCTGTACCAACTGCGGAGCACGGCGGTGGTAGCATCATGCTGTGGTACTGCTGCTGCGCACAAACGAAATGGAATAAAGACGAAGATTCGTCTTCAGATTCATCTTCACCTTAGTGCTGATTTTGAGGGTAATAAAAAGCTAAAATCCAAACAAAGGGTTTCTTTTTAGCTGTGTTGCTCTCTAATTTAGCTTTTCTTATTCATAGAATGAATTATTGTAGCAAAAAGAGGCGTTTTAGAAGAACTGGACAGAATTTGATGCTATAAATCTACATTTCACATAAAGTTCACTGCACTCTGAGCCAGCTGACGTGACAAAGCAAGCATGCTTTTCCCTCTTCATCAAACTGATTAAACACTATAATTTGAAGGCTACAAACATAGTAAAAAAAATTCACAGTAGAACCATCACAAAAGAAATCACTTTTTTTGTCTTTAGTCAAAATTTACGACTTTTTATGTTTTGGGCAAAAACACAATAGATTTTTATGCTGTCATAAAAAAATACAATAATTCTCCCTTTTCTCTCCTTCGATACAGTAAACCCTCCTGAGTGCACATAATCACGTAAGAAAAACAAAGATGGGCGATGAGAAAATGATGAAAGGTTTAACTAATCTCAGGGTTAAATAATGACCTTCTGAAGGCTGTCGGCTCAAACAACTCTGCTCCACCTGCTTATTATGGGCTGCGCTGATCAGAAAGAACCTACTAATGAGCAACGTTTACATCAAGCATGTGGAGTGTGTGGTATAGTAGGCTTTGATGCAACTGCAGTGAGTCAAGGAATGGTGCGTTACAAGAAGTTACATTAAGATAATACATTAAGATCGCAGGCAGAGAGACAGACGGAGGTCTATTCCAGTTCACGTGTGCGCTGGAGTTTCTGGGAATTTATTCTTTTGTCTCCTCTTCTCTCCATCTCCCTAAAAAAACACAAGTCCAATGTTCAGGAATGACGTATGAGTTGATAGATGTGAACTCTTTAAAAGTTAATAATCACTTCTCACCTGCCATGTCACATCAGCTAGACCATCTCATACTGATTGGCTGTGATGATCCGGGACAGACAGCAGGCCAGCAACATGCCAATCAGCTGAAGCACATGCAAAGATTCATGTAAGATGCTTTTTTTGTGTGTGTTATTCTCACCAAACGTTTTATTTTTTTAAGCCTATTTATTTGCCATAATCTCTCGAAGGTCTTACCTGTGAGAAGGCGATCCCAAACGTCACTCCTGCAATAATGGCCATGTTGGTTTCCATGAACGAAGTGACCAACTCAAAGCAGCCCTGAAACACAGGGGCCATGTTAGTCCACGAAGGATGTACAGTATATGAGCATGCATATGGACTGTACCTTTAGTGCCTTTCTATCTTATCAAGATACTCAAAGCTCTTTACAACACAATCTGTGTCCTCATTTACCCATTCATACAGCACTCTACTAGCTCTATATAGACTAATCAGAGCTTTATCACATTCATACACCGATGGGACACACATCGACGGCAATAAGGGGTTCAGTGTCTTGCCCAGGGACACTTCAGAATGCGACTGCTGGTGGAATCGAACCCCCAATTCTTGCTTGGGAGGACAACTGCTCTAACCACTCAACCACAGCTGCTCCAAAGTGGGAGTGGTGGCACAGAGGTTAGAGAAGGTGGGCCTGTGATCAGAAGATAGCCAGTTCAATTCCCAGTACTGACAACATCAAAATGTGGGTGGGATAGGTGAAGCTCCCACACCTGACTCCACCCTCATTTGTCCCACTCTGGGCCCTTGAGCAAGGCCCTTAACCCAACCCCCACCATCTGCTCCTCCGGGTGCCCATTGGCCCATATTTGATGCATATGAGCATGTATATGATACTGTAAATATGAGCATATTTATGATATATATACAGTATGATGTATACGAGCATGTATGTGATATATATGAGCATGTATATGATGCACATGAGCATGTATATGATATATATGAGCATGTATATGATGTATATGAGCAAGTATATTATGTATATGAGCATGTATGTCATATATGAGCATGTATATAACATGTA